ATGGTGCCAGCCCCTCAATATGGCATTTTGGGCAGAACGGGATCCTTTTGTCTGCTGTATCAGACTTTGTCCCCCTTGAACTTTAGATCACTGGGCAGAAGCTGATTGGTTGCTCTTGTACCCAAAGCCTGCCTGGAATAGTCTGTATGAGACGATCCTCATCACAACAGAGTTTAGGCTGGACTCTTAGGGAACGCATTACACAATGAGTAGATGAGGTGACTTCAAAAATGTCATAGAAGATGGGATTCAAGGATAGGGTTTTTTTGTGTGTTTGCAAAAAAAAAAAAAAATTTTTTTTGAAACCCAGGTATTTTTTCCCCTAATCCATGAACTTTGGAGAATCCCTTGTATTTTGTAAATGTTGACATACATAATCAGGTGCCATCTCTTTGGAGCCTTCCCAGGCCTCTCAGAGCCAGGGAGGAGGAGGTGTTTGTGATCTCCACCCTCAGTCCACACAGGAGAGGGCAGCACCATCACCCAGACCTTGGCGCTGGAGCCCACACCCCCATTCAGTCTCATGCAGCTCTGCAGCACGGCATTCCTACATAGTCCATCTTTGTTCCAAAAAACTTTCTCTGAGGCCAACAGGTGCATTTGTAGTTAGTGAAGACCTGTGCTCTGAAGTCATGCTGTGTTAGGCTCCTGTTCCCAGGCTCAAAAGAACAGGATTAAGACACCAGCAGTGTGCTCAGCCCCACGGACAGGAGGCCCTCCCTCAACTCCAGCCTGCCCAGCCACTTGCTTTATTTGTAGTTTCTCTCTCCAGGCTGATTCCCCTCCCTCCACTGTCCAGCATCACTTCTTCTTTTTTTTTTTTTTTCCTTCAATGTTGATTTTTTTTTGAAAATCAGAATTACCCAGAGGGGAAAAAATAGAGAGAGATGTTCCATTTATTGTTTCACTCCCCAAATGGTTACAACTACCAGGACTAGACCAGACCACACACAGTAGCCAGAAGCTCCATCTGGGTCTCCCAAGTAAGTGCAAAGGTCCAGGCACTTGGGCCATCTCTGATGGCTTCTCAGGTGCATTAGCCTGGGAGCTGGATTGGAAGTGGGACAGCTAGGACTGAAATGCACACCCATGCTGGTTGGCAGCATTGCAGACAGCAACTTAACTCACTCTACCACTTGGTCATAGCAGTCATCAAGATGTTTGTGAAAAGCAAGGAGACCCCTGTGTTATGGTCAACATGTCCATTTCTGCAGGTTATAAATGGTTGTTAATGCTATCAGCAGTTCACCAGAATGACCTTGACCCTCATGAGAGGGCAGAGGGACAGCTGGCAGAGTGGTTTCGTTGTATGTGGAAATACTCTTCAAAATTTACTGCAAACTTGTGAGAGGCTACTTAACTGAAGTTGCTTTTTTATCTAGCTATCCATTTATCTATTTGAATGGAAGAGAGAGACACAGGGCTTGTGTCCGCTGGTTCACTCCCCAAATACTCACACAAGGGCTGGGCCAGGCCCACCAGGACCAGGAACTCAATCGGAATCTCCACATGGGCAGCTGGAAGCTAGATTGGAAGCAGAGCCAGCTCTTGAATCCAGGCACTTGGATGTAGGAGGAAGGCAACCAAGCCAGCAGGTCAACTGCTGAGCCAAACACTGTCCTACAGGTGCTTTCAAATCTCACAGCAAACAGAGAAGTCTCACAATGTCTTCAGAGCCAACCAAGCATTATGAGTGCTGAGTGGCCGTGCCACCTTGCTTTGAGTGTGCTTGGTCTGTACCCCATCATCAGCTTCAGACTTTGCCCCACTTTGGGATGCTTACTTGACACACACAAGTGGCGAGAACTGCAGCCACTGGTAGTACTTGTCACAGCAGAAGCTGTGTAGGCAGTGTGTCTAGCAGGTGCAGGGCCTGCCAGAAGATGCGGTCACAGCACCTAGAGGAGAAGCCTGGGCACTTCCAATGACAGTAAAGCTTCATGTTGAGGATTTTAAAATGAACATGTCTCTCCTGGCTATAATGTTCTCTTTTTATTGTATAAATTTTATTTTTGATAGTTTTCACATATTTGATTAGGGTATGAAGGGTTAAGGGCTTTAGGAAAGTGAGTGAGACCATTGTTTTCACATTCTCTTTTTTCCTTCCTATATCTGGGGGAAGGGGAGATAAGGGGAGAAGCCCCACCCAGCCTCCCACCCATCCCAGGTCTCCGATGTGGGGTATGCTCCCAGGGTCCTGCTCAAGTGGTTTTGATAATTCAGTAGTTCTGTATTGCTGCCGATCTTGCCACTCCAATCACAATGAAATCTGTCCAGACTCCACTGGCTGACATAGTCCACCTTAGAGTCACCATTTGCCCAGGTGTTCACTGCCAGCTCTTGGCTGGGGTAGTTGATCAATTTGTTCTGTCCTCCGTCCTCTGTTATGGTACCAGGTGTCCTCTGCAGGCTCTAGTGGACTGCCATATCCTCCATGTGCATCTGGACGTGCTGTTCACTGCTCCATCTGAGGAGGCTCAACTGACACTGGCTGCAATGTTCTCAAGGCAACTTGTTTGGAGGCAAGCCAGTTTCTTGGCATAGTGGTTCCTGTGACTCTGCTCTGTGGGCATTCACTGTGGATGTGACTGTGTGCACACAGGAGATGGATTCCTCGGGTGGCATCCACCCAGGGATGCTGCTGAGTGGGGGTGGAGTTCCTGGGGCTGTGGCTCTAACACCCGGGTTTGTGGGCTTTCTCTCTTTCTGATCCACCCACTTAACTCACTCATCTGTTTGTTCCACATTGTTTTAAATTCATAGATTCCCTTTAAAATAAGACTGTATTGATTGTGGCCTTGTCAACTTTTGAAACCTTTCAACCCCCGAAGCATGACAATTAGGAAAACCCGTGAACTTGACCCCTGTCCTTCACATGAATGAGTCATTCAGGCAGCTTTCTGGCTGCTGAGTTCCCTGAGGCCATCCACTGTCCCAAAAGGCAGATTTCTTATCCCACCTAGCAAGGCTGCCGTGCAGAAGCCTGGCTGCACCCAACAAAATGCTATCCGTTGTCTAATGTTGGAAATGGGGAAACTTCCAATCTCACTCTGACACTGTCACCTGCCCCCATTTCTGCCAGGCACCATCCTGGTCACCTTACAAGATGCAGGAGCTTTCTTTACCTGTGTTTCAGACAGAGAGAGGAGACCCAGCAGGCTGAGGCTGTGCACGGGTCACACAGCCAGGGGCGTGTATAGCATAGACCTGCTCAGACCTCTGCCTCTCGCCCACCTGCTGCATGGCAGCTTGAGTCCCAGATTCTTTCTGCTTTGCTTCACCTTTATGCAAACACAGCATGTGTTTCTAATGTATTTCTGACCAGGGCCCCCCACCCACCCCAACTCTTCATTCCAGCTGCTGCCACCTCCTCCATACTCAGGCCTCTTGTCTTTCTGGTGACCTACAGGCCCCCTCTTGCTCCTCATTTCAGGTTGGAACCATCTTCCAAATGCAGTGCTAGTCATTGGCTGCCACACACATACCTGCACACACACACATGCAAACACACATGCACAGTCCCAGTTGCCACCCAGGAAAGCTATAGAATCCATAGGGTTCAGAGATAAAGCCTTGGCAATGCTCAGATTTCCTCTCTTGCTTGGGTTGTTAAGGAATGTGAAGTGCACTTTATAGCTCATGCCGAGAAGACCAGGAATTCCCCCCAATGTCCATGGGGTCTGCATCTCTTTTCTAGAGTTGTCTGTAACTTGTTCTGCTGCCCAGGGACATCCTGGGCCCAAAGCTATGACCAGCATAGACACCTGCTTTGTGTGAGAGCTGGGGCAAACACTGGCCTAGACAGTGTATCGAGGTCCTCATTACCCATGGAAGTGTGCCAGTTCCCTCTTCACCACATTTTACCCATCAGGTGCCTGGCACCTGTGTGGGTGTGCCTTGCCTGAAGAGTTTCTAGCACTCTGCCTCTCTCAAGCAAGTGACTGTAATGGTGGATGTGCCCTATCTCCCTCCCCTCCCCACCCAGTACTCCCAGATCAGGATGTTGGGATCCTGTCTTGCTCGTTGCCTGTGTCTTAAGTAACCCAACACAATGGAAAAGTGAGAGTATGCGTTCGTTGAACTTATGATGAGGTCGAACTCTGTGGGTATCCAGCATCGATGGCAGTAAGATGGGTTCTGCTCCCAAAGAGGGTGGAGCTCTCTGTGAGTGTCAGGAGCATCTTCACCTTTATCCAATACTCAGAACACTTGGTTTTCTTTGTTTATGACGTGTTTATTTGAAAGAGTTACAGAGAGAGAACATGTGATGGAAGCATTTGCTGATTTACTCCCCTTATGGCCTCAAAAACCAAAGCTGGGCCAATCCAAAGCCAAGAACCGAGAGCTTCTCCCCACGTGGGTGCAGGGGGTCAAGCGCTCGGGCCATCCTCCACTGCTTCCCAGATGAATTCAAAGGGAGCCAGATAGGAAGTGGAGCAGCTGACACTTGAACTGGCACACATTTGGGATGCTGGCACTGCAGGTGGAGTCTTTACAAACTATACCGCAGTGCGGGTCCCCGAACACTCGATTTTCCATGACAGGGAACTCTACCTTTAAAAGTTGATATTAAGTTATAAAAGGTTAACCTAAGCTTTCATTTTCCCAAATAAAGAATAACTCCATGCAGCCAAAATCAAAGCTTGTGTACCAATTCTTGTGATTTAAGGCTTTCCTGAAAATGCCACCTTAAAAAAAAAAGACTAATAACACTTCAGGCTCTAATGGCCCTGGCTTGTTGTTGGCAGGTATCTATATGGGCATCTTATAACCATTTTTCTGCCCAGCTCTCTTGAATTAATGCTAATGAAAGTCGCCCTTGCCTTATTTTTCTATATGAACACTGAAATTGCAGCTGCCTGCCGCGGCTGCCGAGGGATGAGCGTAATAATTTTCAATTGGCCTCTTCGCCCAAAGGGAACCCCGATAGTGGAAGATTGACAGACGCGGCGTGGATTATCTTGTGCTCTGAACTCAGCCCAATTTGTGGTTTGTTGCAGGTGCTAAGGAGATTGATATCGCGGCAACCCTGGAGCACTTGAGGGACCAGAGACCAGGCATGGTCCAGACAAAGGTACTGTCAGTCAACCCTTGGGGACCTGAAGTCTATTGAAGGTCTCTCTGTGCAGCTGTCCTCCTGAAAGGCGAGACAAGGGGATGAGGCCTGATTTAACATAAGCCAGGCGCTAGTGGCTCCTCTGGGATGGAGCGCCCTCCGTCCAGTCCTGCCAGGGAGAGGCACTTCCGGGCGCTTCCCGAGATGGTAGCAGGTAATTCCTCCGATATGGGCAGATGTGGTCAAGCCCCAAGTCGTTGAAACTTCATTAATTGGAAATTGCCACTCAGCAGATCTGAGAGGGGAGTGTGAGGGTCATGTGACGCATGCTGAATTTTAGACAAAGTCTGTCAACCATGAGCCCCAAGTCCCTTGGAGGCAGCACTGTAGGCTCATTGCACACTCTTTCCAGCCATAGCCTTCTGTGCATCACAGCCCCAGCCACACACCACAGTACAGACTGGTGAACAGGGTCCCTGAGCACCGCTAAGCGCTGCTATTGATTGAAAAGGTCTGCAGTACAGCAGCAGGGATAAAAGCAAGAGATTCCTGCCTGGCCTCGGGTTAGCCAGAGCTAGAAATGAAATTAAAAGAATATCCCAGGTCCTCCACATTCCAGAAACATCACCAGCTGTAACAAATGTGATCCATAAAAAGCACTTAAGTCCGAAAATATAGATTCTTCTCTTTTCAGTGCCTTGCTGACACTGTGGGCACCATTAATGTCTATCCCACACAAAAGAGGTGAAATTATTCAAGGATGCCCTGGTTGAAGTACTTTACTTATAGGCAAGTGGGTTTGAAGTCATAAAAATGTGCAAGACAGGACAGGGCAACCTGTGAAGTCAAGCTGGCCAGAGCACCCTTGGTCCTCTGTGTGGGTAATTCTGGGCTGCCCAGGAAGATGCCCAACTTCCCCAGTCTCTGTGAGGTGCAGGCAGTTTGCCAAGCCCTTCCATTGATCCAGTTGTCAAAAGACCACATGAGACCATCTAAGAGTAAGTGTTGGTGCTGGTGGACACAGATCTCACCCAAAACCCAAGCACCACACTGCTGGCTTCCCCAGAAGCAGGAGCCTCGTGGCTGCCTCTGGGGCTGCTTCCCAGGGGTCTCCTCAAGCCCCTTCATGGAGCCTACGGCTCGCTCTTCATGGCTGTAGTCAGCGCCACGCGCTGAGGCCAAAATAGCTCTCTGTCCTTGATTGAATTACAAAACGCTTCTGAGCCGACCTGGAGGCAACCACTTGAGGAGTCAGGGTCCACTCTAGCTTTGGCTTTGCGGCTAGAGGTTAGCACAGACCTGCAGGAAGGAGGGCTCCTCCTTTTGCCAAGAGGAGCCCCTTACAGCAGAGAGAGCACTGAGGTCCAACAGGGTGTTCCCAAGGGCTGCCTGCACCCAGGTGTCTTATGACATGGGTTCGGTTCTATTCCAGTTTGTAGGTGGCAAAATGATAACTCCGCGATCAGCCATAAGGAACAGAAACTAAACCTTCACTTGCAATGCTAGCATCCCATATCAAGGTCCTGGTTTAAGTTTTGGCTGCTCCACTTCTGATCCAGTTCCCTACTAATGCACCTGGGAAGGCAGTGGAAAATTTAGCACCCTGGAGGCTGACAGCAGCACAGGGTTAAAAACAAGACACACTGCCCAAAAAGAAGGCGTGCACGCGTGCTCGCTACACTGCACCTGACCCAGCCAGGGCAGCTTCCTAGCAGACACAGCAGAGAAGAAATCAGAATCACAGAGTGTGCTAACAGTGACACACTCCTGCAAGCTTCTGCACCGGCGGAAGCAGATTTCTTCTTCGCTCCCCTTCCGGGGATCCTGTGCCTTTGTAACTAAAAGCCTGGTCACTTTCCTTCTCGTAACAATATCTTCCCATTTTCATTTTTAGTCCCATAAATTTAAGAAAAAAAAACCAGCTAGCTTGTCCAACACATAAGAAGGAGTGACATCACCCTTGCCATATGGAACAGATCAAGTGTGTGTGTCCAGGTATTCGTGGAGCCTGTCCCTCCCCTGCCTGCTGCCCACATTGTACTGTAACTCTTCCTAGGCTGCTGGACAAAGACACTGCTCATGCTAGCCTGGCACCTGCCTTGAATAACAGAGGCCGAGTCACCCCAGCTGTGGCCCAGTTGTCCCCAGGGACATGCCACAGGAGTGATTCATGTCTGTCTCTCTCTTCGCCCTCTGTGTGTGTGTGTCTCCCTACCCATGTGTGTGCACACACAACACCTGGTCCCTTACTTCCACCAGGCTCTAAGAAACTGGAAGGGACAGATGGGACAGATTTTGTCCAGTCCTGCACACAAGAGGCAGACTGGGGGCAGCCCTTCATGTGTGCAAACTGCTTAGCGTCACAATCATTCCAATCACATACATTCCCAGTGGCTGTCCCTAAAATCAGGAGTGAGGACATTCCAAGAGTAACTGTTCCTATTTGTGATAGCTCAACCCAGACCTCTCTTTAAGCCAGAGAGTGCACAAATACAAACACATAGACCCAAGTAGCCACTGTATCACTTGCGCCATTTGGAGAGCTCTGGCACCCAGCCAGCCCCAACATCTCACTTGTAAGGCCTGTGTTGTCCCAGAACCACAGCTGCTACTCAACAACCAAGCCCTTCCATCGGACAGCCCTCCAGCTCACACAGTACCCTTCAGATGTCCTAGGCCAGCTGAGGAGGGGACAGCTCTGGCCTGTTCTCCCTGACCCTGGAGCAACACAGGGTGGTGACAGACACCTGATCACGAAGTGTGGGCTTCTCCGCAATGGCAGGACTAGAGTCGCGGGCAGTGGCAATGGCACCTCAAGAGGTCAGAGGCCCTGCCTGCAGCTTCATGCCGTGTGTCTGGGTCTCCAGTAGAACATGCTTTCTTATTCAGAAGATCTCAGCCCACTGCTTTCTCATGTCCTGTCTTTGCTAACTCAGACGTTCTGTGGTCTGCAGGCTCTCAGTCTATTCTGGTGCCTGGAGCACTGAGATTCAGGGCAGGTTAGAGGGGGCTGCTGCTGCTGATGATTTTATTCCTCATGTACAGCTGTGCTGCTATTTGAATGTTTCTCTTAAGGTAAACTCCTATTCCAGAAAACAAATACTCCTGTGTCCCACCAGCTCATATGTTGACTCCCTTCCCCGTCATCTAGTACACACACACACACACACACACACACACACACACACACACACACACACGATGAAGGTCAGGGGCTTAAGCCTTTTAGCTTACACTATTCAATGAGAAGCAAGTCAGTTTACAGGCACCCAGTGTCCCTCCCTAAAGAGGTCTGAGGCACAGGGAGCCCCCTCCCTCCAGCCCATGCTGGCCCGTGGATTGTGAATGTACCCAGTATCCCTCCCACAAGAGGCCCTAGGCACAGGGTGCCCTCTCCCTCTAGCCAATGCTCCTTGGCCCGTGGGCTGTCAATGTACCCAGCATCCCTCCCACAAGAGGCCCTACGCACAGGGCTCCCTCTCCCTCCAGCTGATGCTCCTGGGTGCAGGCTGTGAGTGTACCCGGCAAGGTACATCAAGTCACAGCTGAGCCTCATCTCCTCCAGGCCAGTCGCTTTAGTGGCCATGCAAAAACTGCCACTGGGTAGGCTTGATGGTACAGCAGGTTAAGCCTCCTCTTGTAACCTGAATCCTTTGTCAAAGCCCTGCCTATTCCCCACTTGTAATCCAGCTTTGTGCTGATGGGCCTGGGAGGCAACAGAAGATGCTGCAAGTGACTGGGCTCCGGCCACCCATGTGAAAGACAGCAATGGAGCTGTGTGCTCCTGGCTTTGCCTGCCTTTTGCATTTGAGGAGTGAATCAACAGATAGATCTCCCCTCTGTGTGTGTGTGTGTGTGTGTGTGTGTGTGTGTGTGTGTGTGTCTGCCTTTCAAACAAAATAAATTAAAAGCTACAGTAAAAAGATAAATAAATTGTAACAGTAAGCATGCCAATTGCCTACATGGCCATCAGTTTGTCCTATGGCTGTATACTATTTCAAATGATTGCAATCAAAATATGGTGCAATTCTTCATTGTGTGTTTGCCACTTAACTTTATAGGATAGGGCCCAGCTCAGTAGCCTAGTGTCTAAAGTCCTCGCCTTGCACACTCCAGAATCCCATATGGGAGGCGGTTCTAATCCCAGTGGCCCTGCTTCCCATCCAGCTCCTTGCTTGTGGCCTGGGAAAGCAGTCAAGGACGGCCCAAAGCCTCTGGACCCTGCACTTGTGTGGGAAACCCAGAAGTGCCTGACTCCTGGCTTCAGATTGGCTCAGCTCCGGCCGTTGTGGCCAGTTGGGGAATGAATCAGCAGACAGAAGATCTTTCTCTCTGTCTCTTCTCTGTATATCTGACTTTCCAATAAAAATTTTTGAATCTTAAAAAAAAAAAAAACATTATAGGATAGCTATTTGGCTTTTCTACTGGATGTTTCCAGGCAGCCACAGAAGATCCTCCTCAGTCCCATAAAATCTTTGACCCATTTCTGGTCCTGAGTGTTTTCTGATTTTTTACCAAATAAATAGCTGCAGTCAAACCTGGATGCATCTCCACTTTTCCCTTCAAAGATTATTTCCTGGGTGGTATTATTATTATTTAAGTCACAAAATCACCATCCCTGTGTTTGCAGGTCAGCGTTCTGGGAGGAGACAAGCTGTGAGGCTTAGCTGTGATTACCCTGGATCCTCCCAACAGCCTTTGCGTACTTTAGGTGGTTGATTGAGGAGCTAGGGACAGGAGGCAGCCTTGGGAAGAGTGTTGGTGAGCCACCCTGGTGCAGCAGGGACTTGAACACTCACTCTTCCGGGGGCAGGCGATCCCCAGAAGGAAGGGGGACTGATGAGGGGTGAGAAGGGGAGAGACAGAGGGCCGACTTCACTGCCGGCCCACCATGGTCAGCAGACCCTCATCTGCATCCGCGCAGCTGACTCCTTCAGCAGTCATTTCCAGAATTCCCACCGGGAAGCTGGGCGAGCACAGCAGCGAAAGAGAGCTCATCAGTGTACAGCCAGTGTTCCTTTCAAGTCAGGCCAGGGAGAAACTGGCTCTTGTTCCAAAATGGGCATGAAATGCTTTTTGAGTTGCTGCTTGAATGCAAGCTATTTTCTATGTTTCTGCAAGATAATGGTAATTCTAAATGGAGATTAATCTTTTTTTATTTAGAACTAGCATTTCGTTGAGTTATCAAGAATGTAAGCCATCCTTAATCAAAAATGGCTAGCTAGGTGATTGTGTAATTTACTCTTTCGCATGACTTCCCTGATAGTCTGACAGCCACTTTCACATTTCCTGTTGTCAAATGGGAGATCTCAGTGGCAGGAAGCAGTGGCCACTTGCCCGGCGATGCCGTGTATGAGGAAGTGCCTCTGTTCCTTCTGTCTGCTAGGTCCTCATCGTGCCCGGGAGTGAATTCTAACCTTGCAAAGTTGCTCCTCATTTCTACTCAGCACCCTGAGCAGGTGCTGTATGTTTTGTCTGTGGAAGGACGTGCATGAGACCGCGTTGCTTGACAAATGGAACAAAATTGAGTTGGGTTGCAGGACTTGCTCTTTCCAGAATCAGAGCTCCCCATGTCTGCGGGTGGTGAAACCCAGAGGTGCCAGTGCCTGTGGGTGTTTTCATGACACCCACACCTGCCCCTCACTGCATCCATCAAGGCAGTTGGCCCCAATGGAGAGACGCAGAGTCAAATGGAACAAGGCAAGTCCTGGGGAGCCTCCCCGGGTCATCTCCAGGCTCACTGTTGGTGTAGGTACTTCTCTTTCAGTGACCAAAGTTGAGGCTTACCTGGGCAAAGGATCCTGGTGAGCATCGACTTTGGGTCTGTCTTGCACACCTAACAGCGCCTCTGTAAGGGCCCTTTCAGCCTTCTCTTTGTGCCGAAGCAATTTGTTACTGCAGAGGAGCAGACGGAGGGAGCCTAAACTGACAGTTGGGTCTTTTCTGCCTGTTGACACCTTCTCCCCTTTCTTGTCCCTTTCTCTGCAGGAGCAGTTTGAGTTTGCGCTGACGGCCGTGGCCGAGGAGGTGAACGCCATTCTGAAGGCCCTCCCGCAGTGAGCGGCGTGGCCCTCCGGAGCCTCGCAGGAGCCCCTCCCGCCCCCTGGGAATCGTGCTATGATTTTCATTTTGTGTCTGCTGTTGTCACTGCGTAGTAATAGGGTCCTTCTTACCACTCCCGCAGTCAGTATAGTTTAGCAATTAAAATGCGCATTTCCGTTTGACCAGATGATCATCCCAAGAGATTGTGGAGCTGTTCGGTTATTTTCACTTTAAGGACGCCATTACTTTCCCTTCACGCACACGTTCACGCTCTCTGACTTGCCAATGCTGCCGCGTGGGTGATGCAGCCACGAGTACATGCAGCCTGGTCTCCAACACAACTGGGCTGTAGTCTTATAGGCTTCTGCCAACAGTGGGCCCAGGGACAGCTGGAAGAGCACCCAGTGCAGGTTGCCGGGGTAGAAATCCCATTTGGCATTTGTCTTTAAAATAATTCGTCAGCAGGCTAGCCGAGTGCCTTTCCCACTTGTGGTGAAAGATAAGAAAATCAGCATAGCGGGAGCTCCAGCAGACAGTGGTCCTCCCTCCCCCTCCAGACCCTGCTCCCTACGGGGAGCACCTCCTTCGGAGGCCAGGACCTCACCTGACTGCCTCAGGGTTGCAAAGTTCCACCTGCGCCCTGGTGATGTGTTTTGAATGTGAAAATACTGATTTCTGCATTGCCTAGCCAGAGGCTGCTGAGGAATATAGTGCTGTGGGAGAACTGAAATCAACCGGAGCTGACCTGGTCACTGACGTCCAGGGAACACCCCAGGCCCTACTGGGCTAAGAGAAAACTCTGAGCAATTCCTCCCTGAGGCGTGGGGATGGCAGCCCCAAACCACTGCCTTTGACACCATGTAAACACAAGTGCATGGGGACAATTCGAATTTGGAAAATAGCATTGGAGATCAGGTTAACTGCCCAGCCTTCCCCCTCAGAAAGAGCAGAATTCGCTTCAGTCCACTCAGGACCAAGTCTGCATGGAGGTGTTTCTGCGTGCTAAAAGTTTCTCATCTAAGGTTAAATGCAAAAAAAAAAAAAAAAACAAAGCCCCCGACCCACTGTGTTCCCCACTATCTTTTCTGTCTGGAATAGATCTCAGAAAGCATTTGAAAGAGGGAAAGTGGCCTGCTGACCGGGGAGAAAGATGCCAAAACATTGTCTTTAAACCATATTGTGACGGACTTCTGCTTTCATATATCTGTCATTTCTTTTCCAAAGTTCTTTCCTCTATCTGAAATTTACATAATGAATAGAATGAATCTATCTGAATTATAGGAAGCATATACCTACTTGTAATTTCTAACTTCAAAGAAATCCTCCAGTGTGAGATATATAAATATATTTAGTTGTGTCATATTAAACTCCTGATTTCACATGTGAATAGTCTTTCTTTGGGGAGGAAACCTTGCACGGGCAGCATGAGGTATGCACCTCGAACTGGGGCATCCGCAAGGCTTTAAAGGCGCCAAGGCAACATCCATGAAAAGCTGCCAACCGTGCACCTTGGGCCCTGGCCCACTTGTGTCCCGGCCGCGCCCCGTTCTGAGGCTGCCAAGGTGGGAGGGTGGCTTGGGTAGCAATGTCCTCCTCCTTCCCCATTCTGTCCTAACAGAGGGCACCTGCAAATACAGGGTTCTGGCCCAGTGAGTCTCCAGGTGCTGATCTGGACCAGGAACAAACCCCTCCATCCTCAGGGGAACAAGAGACCTTGTCCTCACTGGCCACACAGTGACAGCCTCCGCATCACAGGAAGACACACTTCGGGGACCTCTGAAATTGCAATTAAAGCACTGCTGGGGTGTACATTTCTGGCTTCCTGTTCAGCTTGCACCCAGCTATGTAGCTCACAGTGAGACGAAATGAAGATCTGTGGGGTTCGTTTATCACAAAATCAAACCATTCCCCACAGCGCCCGCCTACTCAGGCTGTGCACCCAATGTTGGTGCTTGCTCCTGCAGAAGTCAGGCCTTCCAGCTCAGTTCCCAGTCCTTACCCTGAGCGCATCTTCCTTTGGAATCTCCATCATGAGTTTTCCTCGAACCTGATCTTCACATACTATAAAATGCTACAGGTGGCACTGCCACTAACCACCATACGTCAAGTTTCTCATGATCAATGCATTTCAAAATGTAGAGTCAAGGGCAAAAAAGCAGACTGGAATGCCGCAATAAGATTCAACACCTGCTCTGAATATTTAGAAATGCTGGACACAATCTTCTAAAAAAAAAAAAAAAAGTTTTGTTTTTTTGCACATAGCCAAGTTCTAAAGAAAGCAAAAACTGCTCAGGTGCTTATCATAGGTCAAGGTTGAAGTTCTAAACATATGTACTTGCAGTTAGCATAATCAACCTCAGAGCATGGGATGCTGGTAGATATTTTTAAACTATCTTTTTTAAAAACATGCAGAAAATATGCAGTTTGGGGAGCCAGCATTGTGGCATAAGGACACCACATGGGCTCTGGTTCATGTCTCATCTGCTGCTCCACTTCAGATCTGGCCCCCTGTGAGGCCTCTGCAAGACCCCAGTGAAGCTCTTGGCTTCTGGCTTCAGCCTCACTGACCCAATGCAGCCATCTGAGAAATGAAGCAATAGACAGAAGGTCTCCCTTGCTCTCCGTAGTTCTGACTTCTAAATAAATAAAGTGACGGTAGCACAGCACTCCCAAACATCACAAAAGAGGCTGTTACAGTCAGCTGACCTCAGTGGGTGCTCACTCCCGGTGTGAGACACTTGTCTCCTTAGCCAACCTGTGAGTGCACCAGGAATGGAGCACAGACCTGCCATGGTGTCAGCTGACTTCCATTGTACGTGAGAGGTAGAACGAGACCGCAGGGCCAGGGGTCAGAACTCCACTTTCTCATCAACAGCCTGAGCAAGCTCTTCGTGCAATGGAATGATGAATTTGAGACCCTGGAGGACCACATTTAGCTTCAGTGTGTGTGTCGTTCACAGTGAAAGGGACACACACACACACACACACACACACTTCTAAGAATGATTATACTCAGATATTATACTTAGATATTAGCCTCATGAATCCATCTGCTCAGCAAGACACAGAGAGGGTTTCTCTGTATGTCATGTTTGCTGGATTTCTGTGATGGGAATATAGGACCGCGGTGTGATGTTACAGGTCATTTGAAAGCAACTTCCACAGTGCGGGCACAAGTGGTAAAATAATGAAGAGTAGACCATTGTAGAAAAATGTAGGCAAAATCATGACAAAGTGGAATGTTTTGGTTATAACCTATATTTTAATGCATTTTTTGTTCATTTATATGATTACTCATCATGGCTACATTTAAAAACAAACCTACAAAATTCACAGCAGTTTGCTGCTGCAAGTTAGTACAAGCTGACCAAAGCAAAGTAAAGTTCGGAGCAGCACCCCCACAGACTTGTCCAGTAAATCTAGTCCTGGCACAAGAAATTAGGGTTCAAGATTGATCGAAGTTGGGTCCCGTGAGATGGCTCAGTAGCTAAATCCTTGTGGGTACCAGTTCCTGTCCCAGCTGCTCCACTTCCCATCCAGTTCCCTGCTCGTGGCCTGGGAAAGCAGTAGAGGATGACCCAAACCTTGAGCCCTGCACCCACGTGGGAGACACAGAAGAAGCTCCTGGCCTCTGATCGGCTCAACTCGGGCCGTTGCGGCCACATGGGAAATGAGTCAGTGACAGAAGATCTTTCTCTCCTTCTCACTGTAAATCTGCCTTTCCAATAAAAATAAATGAATCTTTAAAAAATTGATCAAAGTCCAGTGGAGTCCTGGGATGCTTGAGGTAAGTGAAGGGAAACTCCTCCAGTAGACGCCCTACAATCGAGACTAGCCCCCATTACAAAGCAGTCAGGAAATGGAGTGCTATCAGGCAGAGTCATCCGACATGAAGAAATGCAGTTCACAATATGAAAGGACTTCTAGAAATGAAGTCAAAATGGGGAACTTTTTTTAAATGAGAGAATGCATGTTCCTATGATACAAACCAAAGCTAAACTCAGTTCAGTAGCCTGCATTAAATAGCAGGTTGCTTACCTCTGAAAACGCATGGTCATACAGAGAAGACGGGGCTCACAAACACTACACAGGTGATGCGTGCGAAGTAGGCAGTAGGACATGAGGGTGAGAAGACACTGGAATTGAGTGCCAACGGATCTCTGAAAGTCTCCAACTGGGAAGCGGCACTAACCAGAAACAACTTTGGATTTCAGTCTAATCCCCAAGGTCAAGTTCTAAGGAGTCCGTGGGGACCTGTGTAAAATTCTTGTGAATAATAAGTCTTCCTTGCTGACTGATGTGTGCAACTTAGGATGGCGACCCCATCTAGTGTCGATGGTGTTGAGGCCCTCCCCCAGTCACGGGGGTGGGGGCTTCCTTTCATCACAGGTGCCCAGCACTGGTGGACTCCAAGAGGCCCTAACGTAGGGTGGAGTGGAAAAGGCACTGAGGGGAAGTGTGGACCCTGCCTGGAAAGGCTTCAAGGCTTATTAAGAAATTGCCAGCACTTGAGAAGCTAAAGAGAATGAGAGACTAATCAAGATGGGGGCACAGACAGGTGAACTCAGTCACCCCACTTCATAGCAAACAAGTCAGGCGCTGCAGACTGGCAGTGCCCCAGCAGGTGTGCACCTGGCACTCAAGCAGAAGGAGCTGGCTTCTTGGCATGGCAGGTGCTCTGAAGCCACACTCTAGCGTTCACCTGAGGCATTGAGCTGACTGGTTCCTTCCAAATCTCACCTAGGGTTTGGAGCTGGCTTTGAAAGCTTCTATTTGCAATTTCGAGGCACTGGAGCTTCAATTCCAAGCAGCTCAATGACGTATTTTTTTTTATGCAATTGTTGCTTAAGACTACAGGGTAAAAATGAAGCTAGCTGTGATTTTACAAAAAGAAAGCAAAAGATCCTTGTGTTACGATTCTATCCCTAAGAAATGAATCCAAGCTTTTCTTAAAGGTGACAGTATAAGCTCTCAGGATATTGGAATGGGATTGATTAAAATTTCTTGAGAATCCCTATGCCTGCACACACACCACCATTTACAGTCAAGTCTGGTTAGGGGTACCCACCTCTCCTGAGTGTCTTGAGTCTTGCGTGTAGAAAGACATTTACTGTGATGGTTGCTAGAACCCAACCCTCATACTGGCTCCTTCAGGGTCACAACCGACCCGGCTGTCATTCTTTTAGCTCCCTACAGCTCACCCGTCTGCTGCAAACGGGCATCAGGAGCAAAGCCTTCCCCAGCATTGTATACCTGATATTGGGTACAATTGGTGCACCTATGCAATTTCCCGGCCTCTTCTGAGGAATGAGGGCGCTCTGTGACTGTCTGGCCCGTGGGCACAGCCTGGTATAGGTTGTAACAAGACACTTGGGTGCAGAGGCTGGCTCATGGCACATGCTGCTGGGAGAATCTTTCAGCCAGGAACCCAAAGTCAAGGGCGCAGGCCCCACTGACCTCCTTCCAACCACTTCAGAGGCCAAGATGACAACCACCATGTACAGTCAGGGTGCTTCCTGCCGAGGCCTGAGATGTCAACCAACACTACCATTATTGCCTCTCAGCAGCCAGCCCGAGCAGGACCACATGCCTGCCATGCTCTGCTGCTTTCTTCTCCTTCGCTTTGCCTCTCTCACGCGGCTGTTTTGAATGCACGTAACCAAACCACAGGGAAGCGGCAGCAATATTGTGTGTAATCTGTGTTTGTGCTTTATTAATCAAGTAGAACGCTAATAAAAAAAAAACCTTCATAATTAGTGCAATAGGCATCAACTCAAAGATGTTTATTGGAATAGAAAATTAGAACTTGATTATACCTTTGTTCTTGAACAATGGCTGGTTTTTATTTTATTCATGTATTTGTTTAGAAAACGGGTCCTAGCCATTCATGTTGCTGCAATGATTAGACAAACCAGATGGTTTATGTAATTTGCTTTTTTTCTTTTAAATTCTGTGCAGTGGGGGTTATTGTGGTGGGGGTTTTCTGGATGTCTCCACCGGGGACTCCAGAGCGATACTCAGAGGACGCTCGAGGGGCAAGGGGCGTCTATGCAGGAAAGCCCAAGCCCCACCCCATGTCCTCTCTGCCCGTTGCAACGGAGCCGGAAGCTGTGCGCCTGCCGCAGCCCCTGGGCCCATCGTGGGTCTAGGGAAGCCAGGGCTGTTGGCAGTTCGCAGAGTACCTGCCAGCCAGCCAAGGCGGTCGGTCATAGGTGCTGGGTGCTGAGAAGGGGACACTCAGGGCTGTAGCTCTGCTGCCTGCTGGGGAGGAAACTGGGGGCTTCTGGAGAGCCAGTGTCAGGCTGGGGAGAGACAGGACAGGATGGGCACGCACTAGGGAGCAGGTGGCCTCTGCCAGCCCAAGCGC